TGCCTCCAGGGCTTTCTTTGTGGGCTTCCGCTGCCGTTTCTTCGGTGTGTCCTTCTTGAAGGACTATGTAAGAGCAGTGGACATCTCCTTCATGACCTTGTCCACTGCGCTTTTGCTCCCTGACAGAAGATGATATGTCTTAAGTCAACTACATTTGGTAAGACTTCGAATACATCATTCGTTGAGACGAAATAACAATAACCCACATATATGCCCCTCCTTGTAGGCCACAGCCACCCACCGGCCGACCTGGAGGGGTTTGGGTGGGCATTTTTTCTTCTGGGCGGCCACGAGGCCTAGGCCTCCTAACTAATGTGTTCCATATGTCCCTCTACAAGCAGGGATTTCACTTTCGTTCTACCTTCTACAGTTCTTGGATTCTCTGACCTATTTGGCGTAAGAATGATCTCTCGTTGACATAGGCTGCCCGGACGGGAGTCTGTCTTATATGCATCTCCTGGTGTATCCCTCTGTTCCGACTTGGCTTTCTGAGGCCTTATTGTGTACTTAATAGACCTGTCAACGAAGTAAACCTGCACAGAAATGGAAAAAAAAGACATGTTGGTACAATACAGTAACTTACTAATTTGCACAGATTACTGCATCCTGTAATACAGGCATATGACAAAACCCGTTCAAAATGTTCGTAGATGCACTATATATTTCTGTCGCATAACTTTCTTCCCTCATACACTCACATATAAAACTGTTATGTGTATGAGTTATACGTGTAGGTTCAAAGTATGAAATGTTTAGGCGAACCGGGTAGAGGCTTGAGCGGGGCCCGGGGACGAATTGCAGGACCCAGGCGAAGTTTGATTTGTACGTCGATTCCACCTGGACCGATACCACATTCTAGATGGTGAACTACTCGCAAGTAAACCTGTAGGCTCCCGAGTTTGCAAGAAAAGTGCGGCAGTTGCGCGCACCTCCACAGTCACGTGCTTCCTGGTCAGCAAGCACCGAGTCGTCCATTGCGTGTTTGTGCCGTGTATTGTCCTGAAATTTAATTTTACGGAGGTTTAGTCTGTGTTATTTTGATGCAATTAGATACAAAAAGGTTCCAACCAACGATGATAATAATAAAAGATTTACATCATTAAAAAATGATACTGTTTATGTAGGAAATTCCGCCCAGGAATAACTGGTCTAGAGATTCAAAAATTAACGTTCTGTATTAATACAAATGTATATCAAATGCATTTAGACAAATGTATATCGAATGCATTAAGGTTTCTGGGGCGGCTAATCTAAATGCTCTGAACTTATCCAAGAGTGGTATAAATTGCGGCGCTTATATCTTAAGTATGTGTTTCTGACCCCTGAATGACTATAGCGTCTCTTACCCATTAGTTAGGATTGCGCGAAAATGTTTGTTTTCGGCTGGTTTTCGGGGGGGGGGGGCGCAACCGCATTCCGGGAAGGGCGAAGTAAATATCTCGCTGGTTCTGCGCAAGCGCACTGTGGACCAAGGAGAAAAATGGCGGCCGTGTTCCAGTCTGTTTCGCTGGTACGGCCCGATTCGACGCGATTTAGACCGGAAAAGCTGATTTTGTAGCGCTGGTACGTATGCATAAGCATCCATAGAGGTTATATTGCCCAGTTGGAACGTTATATTTGTTCCAGTACCACGTCAAGTCAGTCAAATGCCACTCTACGTCGGGCGTGAGTCGGCACACTTTACATGCATATACACAAAGACAATCTGTTTTGCCGGGAACTTCGGGATGATTTAGTTATGAGTACGCCGTAGCTCCTATTACCTTTGTAGTCAAATAGGTCTTTTTCGGAGACGGGGGTAAATTTGTCTGTCCAGGCTTCATTCGTCCGGCGAAAAACTTCCGGTCAAGCCGGTCGCCGAGTTACACGGACTTCTAAATAGGTCAAATTCTGTATGAAAATCCAATTCTTGACTTTTCGAGCGTTTCCTTCTAGAGTTTTCAAGCGTTTCCTTTCAAAACCTAGGATCCATATTAAGCCTTTTACATTTGGGTTGAAGGCACTTCTAGTGCTGCAAAAACTGGAAGAGTTAGATAAAATTATACCTAAAAAAAGGACAGCTCTACTATACTCATTATGCATGCAAGAGTGTGTGTGTGTGAGTGACATCTGGTCTAAACAGATTGAACAATATGTTTTCATTTTCTTGTAAAGGTATACCGAGTCAACATAGCCAACCTGGCTGTGGTATCGCTACAAGACACCAATGCCAGCTACTCTCTATGCTGTGGAAAGAGACAACAGACAAGACTGGGACTGAAGTAAAGCCAGAAGAATGTTATTTGGAACTGTGGAGTATGGTAGTTCGGCAGTCATGCTTTGCTGTCCAGTGTTCTCGCCAGGCCTTTTGAGCATAGGGGCCCCCTATGCTGTAATTTGGACCCCCTATGCTGTGATTTTGACCCCTATGCTGTCTTTTAACCAGCATAGGGGTGTTTTTGGGGAAGAAAATAAATAAATCTTGCTAAAAAATGAAAATATTACTTTAGAATTAAGCTATAGCAAAGGGAACACCTAGATTTCAGACATCTCCATGCAGATGTTGGGGATAAAAGATCGCCAGGTTCCTAGACTCCACGGTTTTAGTTGCACTAGTTCGGTTTTCGAATTTGTTGGATCGAAATGTAATTTTTTTAAATATTTCATTTTTAAATATTTTGGTTTGGTTTTGGGGAGAAAATAAAGAAAATTGAACGACTGATAAACATCAATGTATAAATGTAGCAGTGATTTTATTATACACATGCGGCAGCAGTGTGAAGGACTGTCAACGGATAAAAAGGTAAGAAGGTAAGGAAACCACTGGGATACACATGGACTTTTTCATGTTTGACCGCAAGTTCAAAGTGGACATTACACAAATTAACGTACCTTTTCACTTGTTGAAGTTCCCAGTTAGGATCAGAACGGGGAAGTTACGTCCATATTTAGACACTAATTACATTCTTATCGTTCCAACATAGTTAAGATTTGTTTCCAGAACAATTCTGGCACGTTTTAAAAACAGAAGGAATCGTTATGGAAGAGTTTCTGCGATGTCCCTGGCTATTTTGCTGATCTGCAGGCAGAGGATAACCAAGCGTACAGCGATCAACAACATATTCTCTTCTCGCTCTCCATTACACATATGTTCTCATTTACAAATGATCTAAGTTTGGTTTTCAATGTATTTATGTTGGTTGTTGAAAATTCTAAGAACAAGTTATGGTATCAAATATCAAGTTATCTGAAATCACCTCTGTGTTAGTAAAAGTAAAAATACAGAAGTGCTAGACTATTACGTTTTTGTGTTTGTTATCGCTATTTTTTTCAGAACCTTGAAACTAACAAAAACTAATAAATTACTAAGTAAGGGAAATGCAGGG